GGCGACGTCCCGGATGAAGACGTCAGCCACCATTGCTGCAGTGTAAGGGTGAGGTAATGCAGAGAAATGGTTGTACTTGGTGAGACGGTCAACCACTACCATGATAACCTCCTTTCCTGTAGAACGAGGAAGACCCGCGATGAAGTCCATGGAAAGGTCTTCCCACACTTGATCTGGAATCTTGAGGGGTTGTAGAAGGCCAGCAGGAGACTGTGACGAGTATTTCTGTTGTTGGCAGGTTTGGCATTCGGATACATAGTGCAATACATCCTTACTCATTCCTACCCAATGATAGTGGCTACTGAGCCTCTTTAGGGTCCGTAGCACCCCTGAGTGCCCTCCCAAGGCGGAGTCATGAAACAACCTTAGCAGTTCAGCTTTGTGGCCAAATTCTGGGCAACAACAAACTGACCCCTAAAGAAAAGATCAGGCCCCACAACTTGGTAACCAGCAACTTGTGAAGGGTCTCACCTCCACACATCTCTAATGACCTGTAACTGTGGATCAGACCTGGCTTCTTGCCGTATAGCTTCGAACAAAGGGAAGTTGGGATGAGAGCAGGTCAGATAGGCTAACTCTTCTACTCGCAACAAGGCATCAGCTACTCTATTTGCGGGCCCCGGCTTATATTCTATGAGGTAGTCAAAGCCCATCAGTTTACTAAGCCATTTTTGCTGCTCCGGGGTGTGCACCCTTTGCTCTGCTATGTACTTCAAACTTCGTTGGTCTGTCCTAATAACAAATTGGCGTCCCAATAGGTATGCACGCCACTTTTGCACTGCCATTACCACAACCATCATTTCTTTGACATAAGTGGACGAAATTTGGTGAGCTGTTGAGAGAGCCTTGCTGAAATAAGCAATGGGCTGCCCCTTCTGCATCAAGACGGCCCCTACTCCTACACCCGACGCATCACATTCTATTTCAAAGGGCTGAGAAAAGTCTAGAAGAGTGAGGACTGAAGGGCTAGAAACTGTTGTCTTCAAGTCTTCAAAAGCCCGTTGGGCTTTATCAGTCCAACTGAAGGAATCCTTCTTTAATAGACACGTTAGAGGGGTGGCCATAAGCCCATACCCCTTAATGAAGCGCTTATAATATCCGGTAAGCCCAAGAAAGCCCCGCAAAGCCTTTACAGTAGTGGGCTTGGGCCACTTGACCTGCTGCAACCACATGGCCTAAGTATTGAATTTGTCCTTGTCCAAAGGAACACTTTGTCATTTTGGCATGTAACTGGTGCCCCCTTAGAGTTGTGAGGGTGAGTTTCAGATGTTCCATATGTGTGTCCCAATCCCTGCTGTACACCAGAATATCATCGAAAAACACCAGAATAAATCGCCTTAGGAATGGCCTGAAGATGTCATTCATGAGGGCCTGAAAGGTGGAGGGAGCGTTGGTGAGTCCAAAAGGCATAACCAAAAACTCATAATGGCCATCGTGGGTCCTAAAGGTCGTCTTGTGGATGTCAGCCTAGTGGACCCGAATCTTATGATACCCGGACCGCAGGTCTAATTTGGAGAACGCTCATGCCTCTCCTAACTCATCCAGTAGTTCATCAATGAGGGGTATAGAAAACTTGTCCTTCACGATAATTTGATTCAAGGCCCAGTAATCTATGCAAAAGCACCAACTACCATCCTTCTTCTTCACTAAGAGTACAGAGATGAAAAAGGGTTGATGCTGGTCTGTATATGCCCTTTTTCCAATAGTTCTCTCATTGCCTTCTCAATTTCCAGCTTCTGAAAGTAAGGGTATCTATATGGCCTCACATTGGCCGGTTTAGAACCGGGTAAGAGAGGTATTTGATGATCATGAGCCCGGGGTAGAGGTAATTGGTTTGGCTCCTTGAATACATCGCCAAACTGATCGAGTATCGATCGTAAGGCCTCGTGTTGGGCTTCTGTGGGGTGAACACAGCCCTGGTTGTCCAAAATTGGGATTGTGGGTTGAATGCCTAAGTGCATAAATATGGGTTGGCTAGCATCCTTGGAGGCTAAAGTGTCACCTTGTGGACTAGGGGGCCACACCCCATGTAAATGACAAGTCTGGCCATCCTGGTGAAAATCCATTGTCATTTTGGCCCAATCACATAGAGCAGGGCCCAGGCCACGCAACCAATGAATCCCCAAAATAATATCAGCCCCCGAGAAATCCAATGGGTGGAGATCCACTACAAAATTATGGCCCTATATAAGGATTTTTTCCTTCTTACATACACCATTACACGACATCTGACTACCATTAGCCACATGGATTGAAAAGAGAGGAGTGGGTTGTATGGTCATACCTAGCTGCTTAGCCAAACTGCAAGTGATGAAATTCAGGGTAGAGCCACTGTCAATCAAAATCATCACGGTCCGGCCCACCAATCTTCCTTCTACGCGCATGGACTAAAGAGAGTTAAGGCCCATGAGGGCGTGTAAGGAGATCTCGGCCCCGTCAGGTTCCGGTCCGTCTGGAATCAATTCACAGTCATTTAAGTGCTCTAGGTCTGTCTCTTCTGGCTCTTCCTCTGTCTGTAGGAGAAACACCTGCTGGACCCGGCATTTATGGCCCGGTCCAAACTTATCATCACAATTATAACAAAGGCCTTTCTCATGTCTGGCTTGCATCTCAGCCCATGAGAAACGTTTGAAGGGCATAGTGGGCCGGGGCAATATGGGCTTCTGATGATCCCCAGCCGGTTTCATGGGCTGTTGATCGACCCGTGGAGGAGTCCTCAAATTCGGGTAGGTCGGTTTGCTAGCTCTATGAAGGTTGTTGATTCTTTCTTCTTGTAGGTGAGCCAATCCCACCGCAACCATGATAGTCGTCGGACGAAGAGCCCTCACCTCCAGACGGATATCCTCTCTGAGACCTCCCACAAAACATCCTACTAAGGCTTTCTCCGGCTAGCCGTGTACCCTGGTCGTCATCCGCTCGGGCTCGAGCTGGTACTCTGCTACCGTTCCAATCTGCTTCAACCGAGTGATAAGCTCGTCGTAGTCCACAAACACCGTCGGCCCAAAGCGGATGCACAAAGCTTCGGTGAACTCCACCCAAGTTACCTGGGGATGATTCTAGCGATACCACTGGAGCCATAGAATCGCGTCTCCTTCTAGATGAATGGAGGCGATGGAGACATGTTGGTGTGTGGGAGTTTCGTAGTATTCAAAATATCTTTCTGCTTGAAAGATCCAAGGAATGGGATCTCCACCGAAATAGTTGGGAAAGTTGATCTTAGTGACTTTTCCGGTGGGGTAATACCCTGTTCTTTGGGTGACTGGTCTCGCCGAACTATTGCTGAGAGGCAAAGCTGGAGACGACCACTTTGAGTTCCTTGAGTTCGTTCAACACCTGGTGGAATCCAACCTCAAGCTGGTCAACCTTATCATCCACGGTAGTGGAACATGTCTATGGCATCGTGAAGCCTGGGATTTGGATAACCTGGCTCTGATACCAATCTGATGAGTTACCGCTCACCTCGGAAGCCCCTTCGCGGATGGCTTAACCTCCTAAAACAGAAGATGGGGGGAAAGAGAGGGGAAAGGTAGGAAGAAAATGACTCAGAGAGAGATGAAAGGGTTATTCATTCACGCCACTTATTACATGATCAGGGCCTTATATAGCTGGCCTACATGTATGCATCATGGAGAGAATATTTTCTGGTGGCAGTGTAACTAACTCTGGGAGGCTCTGCCGCATGTCATGCTAGCCTCTCTGTCTTCTAGTGAAATGCTGTCCGGTGGTGGCCTGCTCCACTCCTATAGTTGGGTTCGAAGGGAGTGTTTAGGTCCCAACAGTTTATTAAACTTAACTTTGATGGGAGCAGTGTGGTTAATCCAGGCCCCCCAGGCATTGGAGGTGTTTTCAGAAATGAAGAAGGCAAAGTTCTTGCAATTTATTCAGGTCCAATTGGTTTAGGTGATTCATTAAGGGCTGGGATTTTGGAAGTTCTGGAAGGTGTACAAAGGACAAGGGATATGAGTATTAGAAAGTTGATTATTGAAGGTGATTCCATATTGGCAGTGGGCTGGTTGCAAAAGGAGGAAAACAGTTTCTAATTTTCTGAAGATAGAGGAATGTAAGAAGGAAGTTCAAGAAATTAACACTAGGCATTGAAGTAAGGCTGCATTGAGCTAATAGGACTGCTAATTCCTTTTGCTGATGTTCTAGCAAAACAGGGCGGTAGAGAAAACCTTTTTTGGGTTCAGTTGTAAGTTGTAATATGTAAAGAGAGTTTATCTCCCTTTTTTTGATTGCTTATACTCCTTATTGATTCTTAATGAAATTTCAAAGTTATTGATCAAAAAAAAAAGTCACCCTTCCATAACTTTTTCCTATTTTCTAATATCCTACCCAGCTGTCCAATACCACAAACCAAAACAGACCAGAAACGAATAGAGGCAAGGAATGGGGATATGTTACTATGTCTAAACCTTGTTAGTTGTTGTAGCATAGGTAATGGTTGAATATTTATGTTCCATAGTAATATGTTTTTCCATTTATCTTGGGTTGCTTTTGGGTAAAGGTAATTCCTCTAAACATGATTATGGATGAAGTATTAATAGCAACTAAAAGCAATCGATGTTCCACATTATTCTTTCAGTAAATAAAAGGTACATCAAAAATTCACTGGGGAAGGCTGAAAAATAGTAGCTTGAATCAATACCCTACCTCCAAATCACATTTTGGAATTCACCTGGTCTAGCTTCAGGAAGCATTGCAGCATCATATGCAACCACATTCCCATAGAATATCTTCTCCAAATCCTTCATCCATCTGGTCAACAATAAGTTAACCTGCATTTCAAAGAAACAAGGAAAAATGCAACAAAAAGTTACAGGTCAAGCAATCCCAAAAAAGACTATACACTTGTACCATTACCATTAACCAAAAAAGATGCTTGTTCTGAGCCATATATGCAAAGTTAGTATAAGTGATTTACATCACAAATGTTCCACGAAATTACCAGTAGAAACTGTAAGAGGAACAAATGGAGCTCCAGTGATCAATGAGAATAAGTCAACAGTTTGCATTAAATATAAATACGGGCAATACATATAATTAGATGAGGTAGATAGCACATAAGAGATGTGATGCCAAAATCGAATTAGTAAATCTTTTTAATGTTGGCATAACTATTTTGACTGTACATAAGAGAAAGATTGAATTCTATTCAGGCATTTGGTCTAGTCAATGTTAGTACATGAGATCTACGTGTCTGGCATTCAAATGAAAGGTTCTACTATTCATGTGTACCATCTTAACTTTACATAAATATGCCATTCCAATGGGCACCAGCTACCTTAGTTGCTTCTCATAGTAGGAATGATGACCAAGTCATGCATGTACGTTTTTTTTATGAATAAGTCATGCATGTACTTTCAAGATGCTAATTTAAATTTAACAGTCCTTAGTGTACAGAGTAAGAGGTTAGGGACTGTGTTCTAGATTGTTTTGTACAGTACTATTGTCCATCAGAATCAGATGAACTATATCATAATTTTAATTCTCTATACACTATACCCAGAAGGATATTGATATAAACTTACAGAACTCTAATATAAAGTATCGATTTTCTCTTGGACCAGTTGACTAGACAGGCTGCCCTTTCCAATCATGACTTGGTTTCTCTATTTCTTGAAGTTATGCACATGAATGATACATGTGACATGGAATCAGATGGAAGAATGGCATGATTTAATAATTACTTACTACTACTAGTAAGAGGATAATGTTCACTAAAATGATAAGGCTCAGCTATATTAAGGCTGACATTTGGTTAGCTTCAAGGGAAAAAATCATCCTGAGGCAACAAAGCTTGCTTAAACATTTCCAATAAATAGGCCACTCTTTTTTTTTAATAAGTTTAGGTCACTCTTTGTTTCATCATTGTCACTGTCACCATCTAGGCCTTATCCCAGATATATGCAAGAATCATGTTTCAACTTTCAACATTCCATTCTGTTTTGTGCCACATCAATTGTTAAATTATTAGTGCTTAAATCATTTCTTAAGTCACTCCTAGTTTCTTAGAAATTATTGGCATGCATTCAACTCTGTGCCAGCTTCCAAAAATGTGAGACAATTGTTAGAAAGCAGTTTTTCACCTGCTCCTTCTGACACTTGCATGAATAAGAACAGAAAACATCACTAAAAAGTTAAAAGAAACATTGCCTGAATTCCATGAGTTTAAAGTTAACAAGATAAGCATAACTAACCCCAGCCTTGGATACTCTCAATTCTAAATCATGATTGTAGATCTCATACAAGTATTGGCCAAATTCAACACCTTCCTTTCCCTCTTCTTTCAAGCGGCGCAAGCAAAGCCACATATGAAGTACAAGCAAAGAAAATGTTGTTTTAAAAGTTTTCTCCAAGTTAAACACTGCAAGTGGAAGAGAATGGTAGACATTAAATCAATGAAGAGAAAAAGATATCCAAACATAAGGATCAGAAGAATGCTAAATGCATCATGAGATGGCATACAAATTCGCTAAGAAAGGTATTTTGTAGCAAAGCCAAATATGGTACACAAGAAAAAGAAAATATTGCTTTTTTATGAAAGATGGATATGTATCTGATAAAGGGAGAAGATCCCTCAGAAAGCTGTACAAATTATTGCTTTAATGGTTTTCTCCAAGTTTAAATACTACAAGTGGAAGAGCACACATTAAATTATTGATGAGAAAAAGATATCAAAATCTAATATCAGCTTAACCAAATATAATGATTAGAATAGGCTAAGTCCAACATGAGATTGTACACAGATTCATTAAAAAAGGTTATGGTGTAATGTTGCAATACAAGGGTCTAGAAAAAATAATCTTATCCTGCAATTTTTTACCAGTAATCTTATCCCGCAATTCATGAACTTTTAGCACCAACAAATCAAAGCGTATTTACTAATGGGCAAGAAAAGAAACCAAAGAAATATAACCCTATTACCCTCCAAGTAGAAAAGCTATGGACCATAGTCCCAGTAATGATTATGTCATATAATGGTACAAGACTACAGTGTAAAGAATCCTTATCCTGCACTTGATTGCCCCCATTCATGAAGTTGTAATTTCTCTTTCCATTTTAGGTGTTTTCAACCAATAATAACCAGTGAATATCTCGAGGAGAAAAAATACATACATGATAAGAAGTTACATGTTTCCAAAAAAAACAGAGCTAAAAACTTTTAATTGCATCAGGTTAATCTCAATAAATTCTTAAGAAACAGAAGTCCTTTCAAAAGAACCACATATTAGCAATGTAGACACTCAGAGAAGTACAATGGCATCACAAAAGTTCTCTGTTTGGTCCTTCAAAATGCCCTAATGTATGGCAACACCAAGAACTCTTCAAAGGAGCTTGCCTCTAAAACCAAATCAACCCCAACAGAAAAAGAAAAATATTGGTATTTCTTATTGTATTAGCAGTAATTATCTCAAACAGGACAAAAAAAATTTTAGGGACATCAGGTATGATGTGTAAAATTCCCAATACTGCCCTTCAGACATAAACAAGAAACAAGCAACTATCTAGATGGATGATAATTGACAAAGAAAAAGAGTGCTGAAATGTTGTGAGAAATTTTCCATTACCAACTGTTAAAGGATTCCTGTCCTTAAGGCTGTGTTTGGTTTGAAAGAAAAGATAGGGAAACCTATACAAGGTTTGTACAGGTTTCCCTACCTTTTCTTTCAAACCAAACATAGCCTAAAACTTAAGGGTAAGCACTGAGCATGACTGCATTGGTAATTTTGGTAATTCACATGACTAGTGACTGAACCCAACCAAGGGTATCCAAAGAGAATGACAACCTGGCACGACTCTAATTATGGAGGGCAATCATCAGATCTACTAACTAGCTAGTATGGACTTTCAACTTGGGGTCTCAAGGCTTCTTGCTTAACAAGTACCCTTTCTCTATTCTGTTTTATTGCACTACCATCACATATAAAGAACCATGAAGAAGAATATAAGAGTGGTAAGCATAACCTGAAACCAATAATAAACAAACTACTTCCTGAAAAGGAAATGAACTTCATTTTCTTTTTCTTTGTAAGACAATCTTATCCAATTAAATGGAAATTACTAAACATGACCTGCCTATCAGTAGGTACATAAAATACCTGGGTTCTACAAATATGGCCAAAAACAATGAACGTCTTCATAATAATCAGATTCTTTTTTACAAATAGTTGCTACCAAAAAAATACAATACTTGAACTGTCAATGTAGATTCTACATAGTCCCCATCCTTCAAAGAGCAGAAGTGCAATAGGAATACCAATTAACAAAAGGATCAGGCAAAGATGGTCAGAAAAATTACTGGGAAAAGATTAAGTAATATGGTTCTCTTTCTGTGTATGTATAATGAAAAATAACCCACCATCATAAATAGCAGGTTTATCAACTTGTGAAATAATGCGCCGGTACACCACATTTGCCCCACGAATGGATTTGCTTTGCTTACTATAAAACAGTAATAGCTTGAGCATGATGTGTTTAAATCCTTCATACTTTAGTTCTTCAACATACAGAGGTGAATCAGGGGCCAAGGCCAAAGAACATGCCTTGCTCCAAAACATTTTATTTATGTTGACCTGTCAAATCAGGCAATTGCATAAAATGAATAATAGACACAATTAACTGAACATAAAGTGCCAGTATGCCACTGCTTGAAACTGAAGCAAGTTGAAGATGTGAACAAATTCAGATTGCGTTTATACTGTCATAACAAGTTGAAAGAATTGAACAATATCTATGCAAAGAAAAAAAAAATCTAAGCTTGTCCCAGGAGCACAGAGACAAAGGATTACATGAATCTGTTAAGTACATTATATGCAAGATGTATGCACTTGCCCAGAGCATGTACCCATATCAATAGGAAGAGAAAAAAATCAGAAATATATTGAATTATTTATCATGAATAAAGGACAAATACTATTAGCAACATCAAACACCAGAATACTTTCATTAACAGTGTCCATATGCTTTAGCACCACAAAACAGCTTAATGAAATGGGGTAAAGTTCTTCTTATACTTTTTATTTTTCTTTAGCTCTTCACTAGAATAACATGATAGTGTTTCCAGATTCATATCATGGTTTATTCAGGCTTGAACCACAATACACAATTTGTAGGTTGGCCACTCGCATTAAATTTGATCAATCAAATTCATTGGACTGGTTTTGTCAAATTCATTGATTAAATTCTAAATATAATTAAATTAATTTCATTTAATACCTCAGATTAATTAGTTTTTGATCTTCTTGAGAGATAATGATTGCTGCAGTGTCCCTAAATTATAAGTTTTTTCCTTTATATTGAAAGTTACCTCATGTCATGCCCCTTAAAAAGATATGCTTGTTTAAAGGTGGAACAGTGGAAACTAACATGTTTCCTCTTTATATATGGATTCACTGGATTGCCTAAATTTTGCACCGTTCTGCTCAGAAATCGTGGATAGGTTCATAAGAACTAATTACTCATTGGGGAATGCAAAGATATCTGTGAACAATATTCATTAGGGTAAGCAAATACTATCCTAGTCCGTATGGATTTTCACCTCCATATAACAGGTAGAAATTTCATATCCATTCTTCGTGAGCAGAATATACACTTTTTTGGCAACACAAAGTGTAAATAAGCAACATTGTCCACTAAGATCTTTTCTGAACTTCGTTTTCTAAAGTTGTCTCACAAAAAAGAAGAAAGACTGTGAATTTTGAACATAGGTGTATATGATAAAGGAAAAGTGGACAAAAAGGAATTAGCACTTATACCGGTTGTTTGCTTGACGAATCTTTTACTGTAGAATCAGTCGAAGTTACAGTAGTAGCTGCAGCAACCCTGGAATGGTTTCTGTAAGCAACATATATATCTTTTGGGGTTCCAGTACTCTTGTGTAGTCCAGCCCTGGAGAGATGGATAATTGTTCTGCTCCATCTTGGCAGCATTGTTGGGTTTCTCTACCTTAATTCAATGCCTCTCTTACCTGCCAAATAATAAAACACAGAAAAATACGGAATTTTTGCAATTTGCTTCAAACCCTATAAGGAAGATTAATAAATACAAAAAGAATAAGCAGAAGAAGAAAGCATGAATGTAAGAAGAAATGAGAAAAAGAACATTAGCACCAAATTCTCCGGGGAATGAAACAAAGAGATGTTTCATTTCAATTGGGTGTTGGATTTTCTATCTGTGGATAAAGAAAACAAACAAGTAATCACCTGAGTTCAAGCAAGAGGGACTAGTCTGATCGATTTCTTCCAGTTCTTCACAGGTTCTCTCAACAAGCACCAAACTCCAATACCCCAATCCCCCAAACCGCGGTGAAGGCGGGATTCCATTCGATCTAGGGCTGCAAATGGATCGGATCGAGTCCAGATTGATCCGTTTTTATTCGGGTTCGAGTTGAATGTGAACCGACAGTTTTGAACCTGATACGAACGGACATCGAATAGCAGAACCACAAAATAAAACTTGCAGCAACAGCTTTTAGCAGAACCACAAAGTTTATATTAAAAAAACGAAATTTAAACAAACTTTTACTAATAATAAATAGATATTACAAAATTTAAGTATACATAATGGAAAATTCCTGATTAGTATTCTCTAATTTTTGGGCCTAGTGCCAGTACCTGCGATTAATCAATCTAGTACCTGCGATTAAATGGTATTTGAAAAGACATAAATGTCTTTTGTATGTTATTTAATTCTCTTTATCAAGTCATTCAAAAGTTGATAAAAAAGTAACTGTCTCAAATCCTTATCTCTTCTATTTAAGAAAGTCGGGGTCACCGGTCAATGGATATTGGGAACCAAAAAAGAGTAAATGGGCAATCTAGTGACCCCAACTTTCTTGAATAAAAGAGGCAAGGATTTGGGTGTGTTCCTGTATTTTTATCAACATTTGGATGGTTGATAAAAAAAATTATATGATACTTGAAGGGCATTTGTGTCTCTTCAAATGCCATTTAACGGATGGTTAATGAACTTGTTAACGACATGTGTTAAATTGGCACATTTTGAAAGTTCAGATACTTTCCCTATATATAATTCGGAATCATATCCAAATATATTGGATGGTGGTGTGAGTTTTTCTTTATTTAAACTTTTATATTTTCTTTTCCTTTTAATAATTTATTAATATTTTTAAAAAATATGTCAGATCGGATTAGTTTTGGATATCTAACATTCTTATCATACTCAAATTGAATCAATATTTTTGAGATCCAATCGGATCTTAATATCGGATTGGACCTACAATATATTGGAATGGATTCAAATATACTTTAATTCAAATCTGATTCGGTTTGTTTGCATCCCTAGTGGATGGGGGGTAAATAAAGACCCCGATGTGTGACATTTACCTAAGATGTAACTCGAGTTGGCCCAAGATAGCGCATTTTATACTGCTTCGAAATCAGACCTAAGCCAAGCCCACTCAAATCTTGACAAAAGTCTAACCTAAGCCTACAACTACAAGTAGTACTGTTGCACCCCCTACATTTAGCCCCATGAAATACTAGTAAGTGTTCATATGCTTGACAATTCTAGATAATGATAATTATAGTAATAATGTATCCAAAATTTTCTATACATTATATATATATATATATATATATATATTTTATTATTAATCAAATGTAGATTGAAATTTTCAAATCCGATTACATAACGCCTCATCCAAATTATGTGATAATCACTTAATCAGATTAAGTTGTGAAGTTTCAAGTATCTTTGACAAGCCTACTTGCTTAGCTAGACTCTTTTTTTTTGTAATGTTTTATATTTTTTGTATATCCTTTCTTGTTCATTTATTAAAAAAATGTAATATTTAAATAGAGGCAATTAAATGATGCAAAAAGTAATAGTTCAGATTACAATTTAAACTTCACAATTAAATAGGGACTACATTCAAAAATGAGTATTTTAGTTAAAAGAAAGTTTCACAATCTTATTCATATTTTTAATAGTAGTGTAAATATAGAATTATAGATGTGTTTAATTTTTTCAATAATTCTTCATTATTTATATGTGTAAAAATAATTCTAATATGTTGCACATAATTTTTGTTTAATATGATAAATAAATGGTATTATACATGTGTCTAAATGCTTTTTTACAAAATTTATGTATTTTTCATTTTTTATGTTTCTATTTTATTAATTTTTATTATTTATTTATGACATTAAATGTTAATACATTTGACCCAATAGTTGAACTATTGATCTTTACCAAACAGTAAAATAATTTATTTTTTTTGTCAATTTAAATTATGTATTTCATTTTCATTATCAATAAAAAATATTTTTTGTTTATTACACTTATTTTTTTTATTTGATTAATAAAAATCATAAATGTGTAATTTTTTTTACATTTTTATAATTTTCTATATTTATTTTTATTTTAAATTTTTTACTACCTAACAATGATTTCATATGTTGATCAATTTGATTCGGATGGTTGAATTGCATAACCACCGCTTGGATAAAGAATGATTTTGTTCTTTAGTCAATTTTAAAATATATGGGTTTATGTTGTTAAAAATATTGATATAGATCTAATTAGTAGCAATTAATAGTGAAAAATAACTTAAATATAGGATTTAATAAGAGAACATGGGAATTAATACTATAAGACATAATGAGAGGGGATTAAATGAGGTGGATATTAATAATTGAAATTACACTTTCAACCCTTTTAATTAAATATTGACTAAATACACAAATATGGGCATTTTAGTAGTCATTAAAGCCGGTATTAAAGTTGTAATAAAATGACTTTTATACCCTCTCTCAAACAAAGAAATAAAGGGTAATTTTTGTCCATACAAACTTTCACTATAAATCCACACTTTTATATATAGTATAGATTAGTGTGCCCATTGGGAGGGCTTTCATAATGCAACTTTTAGTCTTAGTTGAGCCTCACACATAAATCATGGAAGTTGTATTTGGTGAAAATCCAAAAAAAAAAACACACACACACACACACACACTTATACTACAAAGTTAGTCCAAGTGGTTTGTCTAGAACACATGGTGTTCACCACCATGGCTCAACTAATGCAACCCGCCTCCAACACAAAACCGTACCAAATAGATTCTTTTTCATGGCAATCTTGTATTTCAAAATGTTGGTGTTTTTAATAAAATCTTACTTTATTAACTTTGAGATTATTGAATGAAAATCTCAAACTTTGGGCAGTCCTATTAGAAAGCCAAATATTTTTAGAACAATCACATTTTTTCCCTTTCATATCAAACAAAAGACTTCAATTTTTGTGGAAATATTGTTCTAGTTCTTAAAGAATTCCATAGTGAAGTTGCTTATTTGATTAATTCTTCCAGCTCAATGTTCATTTGGCAAGTTCCTTGGGTAAATTCTAGTGATATTTTTCAGGGGCATTAATTTTTTGGATTTTGAAAGGAAAGAAAGTTGGTTAATGGGATTTTGGTTCCCATCAACCAAGAAACCCATGTTCTTTTTTTTTTCAATTTTATGTGGGGACTAGGGAAAGTTTATCTCCCTAAGTACCATTTACCTGGATAAGTACACCAATCTCCGAGGTGAGTAAATAACTTTCCCACCTGGGGGAAAGTTGCCAACACCTGGATGGGACAAAAATGCCCCTTTTAATAATGGATTTTTATGGCTAAAATGGTCATTATCTTGATTACCTAGGAAATAAAATAACATTGTAAATACAGTTACCTGAGTACGTGTTTCCTATGAAGCATTCGCCTAGGTAAGTGCATTTACCTGGATAAGTAACTTACCAAAAAGCGAACAGGGTCTTCTTATGATTCAGAGCCCTTTATCCCATAATCTTTTGTCTTTTAAAAACGTGGATTTTATTTCAAGTTCAACCATAATGCAATCACTAATATTCGTTATAGGTTAAATTCGTATATGAACCTATCTTGTTAGAGTTGCTTATTTGTTAGGCCATTTTAGAGTTAAGTCCCCCTCTGAATTGTTTTATTGGTTTCTTAAATGTATTATGCCCATCCACCCTTATAAATGCCATCCCCCCTGTAAATTGAGAATATTTCCCCCCTTAACATTGACCTGAATTCTATGATTACATTAGGAATTCTGAGGGGTACTGAACTCAAATTACCTTTATTTGTTATTGTTTCATGAAGTGTATTTTCACATTTAAAAAGACCAATAAGTGCGCACGTGCTTTGAACGTGGCAATTATAGATAATGATAATGATAATAATAATAATAACATATCCAAAAATTTCTATAAACTTTATGTTTTTTTTTGTGTATTATTAATCAAATGCATATTGCAGAATTCAAATTTGATTACATAAACACCCCATCCAAATATATGATAATCAGGTCGAATTGTGAAGTTTTAAATATTATTAACATGCCTACCTACTTGCCTAGACTCTTATTTTTGTAGTGTTTTATCTTTTTGGTGTATCCTTTTCTTTTGTTCATTTATCAAAAAAATGAAAGATTTAAATAAAGAGAATGAGGCAAAAATTAGTAGTTCAATTTACAGTTTAAACTTTACAATTAAATAGGGATTAAATTACAAAATGAGTATTTTAGTCACTGCATTAAAAATCGTACTAGACCGAACAGTCGAACCATTTTGGCCTAGGAACCAATCGTCATTGGTTTCGTTTGGCCCTAAACCACTATTTTACAAAAAATCTGTTGAAATGGTCAAAGAACCACTAACCCGTTTAGTTTAACCCTTAAAGTGTTTGACCCAATAATGGTTCTTGGGTTGCTTCCAAACTAATTCCAATTTTTTTATTTATTTTAAAATAGAATTTAGAAAATAAAAATGAAAAAAAAACTTTCATAAGATGAGAGATTAAACATCGATCTTTTATTAAAAATTGAGATACACCTGATTGTGCACAATATGTAAGCTCCTAGCTGGAAGATGACCTGGACCTTAGTTGTGTAGCGAACTAGACTAAGTTGCAAGACAGAGGATTAGAGAACCCGGGGTGGCTAACCCGGTGAGGTCACTTCGATGCTTAAGTCAGTATTGGGTTGTGCGAGCTAAAAGTTTATATGCTAGTAAGCTAGTGAGCAAATAATATAGTGAACAAATAATCGTGCATACCTGACTCTTGGGGGTTGATTCCCTTATATAGCTGGGATGCCGTATGTCTCTCGAAACGTTCCCGAAATCTTTGGCCCGTGATGTTGGGATCTGTTATGCTTAGTTAGGGGAGTAACACAGCGATTAATGAGGTTTATCATTTCCCTCCGATTCGGGCGGGAGGAGGAGATAAGGCCTATAGTTACGTAATGTGATCCCGGGTAGTTTGGAGTCTGCTGAGAAGCTTTTAGAATCGATTACGTGGCACCTCAGCATATATGGGTACTGAAGTGATTTTAGC